GCCCGGGCTCCGACGGGGACAGGGACGGGACGAGGGACCTGCTCGGAAGCGAGTGGCTCCACCCCCGGCGGCCTGTGGCCGCGCATGCGCCCCGCGTGCAGGAAGTCCTTCCCGTGACCCGGAAACACTTGGGGCTGCGGCGCGGAGTTTGAATGCGGTGGCGCTGCGCTGCGGACGCGAAGGTGAGCGGGGGCAGCAGCGGCCCTGGCCGGAGATGCTCCCGCGCCGGCAGAGCATCGCGTTGCCTGGGCGGCGGGGGCGTCACGTCCGCGCCCAGCTGGGAGCAGCGGCCCCGGGGCTGCCCCGCCGTGCAGGCCTCGCCTTCTGGAGCGGAGCTGCCTTCCCTGGACTCGGCGCCGCAGTGGCCTAGCCTGGCCTCCTGCTTCCGCCGGCGACCCCTGCCCGCGCCGGGGCTCTCCTTTTTGTAGAACCCGCTCGGGCCGGGTTAGTTTTTTGGAAAAAAGAAACTTTGGGCGCCGGCGGAGAGGTGGTAGTCGGTCGGCCGCACCTCTGCGTGCAGCTGGGAGCGCGCAGGGCCGGGGCCCATGTGGGCGGCGGCCCCTGGCTCTGTGCATCTCGCTGCTGCGCTCGCTCCTGGGTCAGCCCAGCTGGCTACACCGTGTGGCTTTGCCCAGCCTCCCAGGCAGCCCCGAGTTAAGAGGGAAACGGTATGAATGTAATTACCGCTTGACCTTTACACTCCTGGCCACGAACTCAGAGGCGGTAAAGCCTGAAAAACAGGCCGTTATGATCCTCTAGTCGCGGGGGTGGCAGATTGGTGCTTGTGATCTGGCAGCTGCCACGGGCTGCCCATTCCTGCTGCAGCCCCCCAGCCACTTGTTACTTTCTGCTTACCTGTGCAAATAGTCATGCCGATTCCTGTCCCAAACCGCAGACTCCCACATAGAATTGAAAGGAAAGCTGATCTTCATTTGAAGATTCTCAATGATAAGAGTTCAAGCAAGATGCAATAAGGGCTCTTGGCAGACAAGGTTCTTTGGATAAATTTAGATATCTTTTAGTAGACAAACTAAACAGTTGGAAAACTTATTCTTCTTGAGCTTTTGGGCACAAACACCCTTCTTCAGGCATAGGGAGAGTCTGCTGGTGTTTTCTGTGATCTGGGTGGAACAGAAATGCAGGTCTGAAAATGTAAATGAATGGCACAGAGGCAATAGGAAACGGTAGGTGGGGGCAAAGGGGGAAATGTTGACCTGGTGACAGAATGTAGCTCTTCACTTTCATTTCAAAACAATCAAGCACTTGAAACAAAACATAAACAACCCACAAACAAACTAACCCTCCAGTTATAGCTTATGGGGGTATGCTAGGGGTCATGCTGTCGTTACTTGGACACTTAAGTGCATTATGGTTGCTATTGCTAAGGTACCCTTCTCATTGCGTCTCCAGGCTTGCTCTGGTAAGGCTAACGCTGCACCTGTTGTCTGCTTAGGAGACATCTGTTGTGGAGTTTCATAAAACACTTGAATCCAACACGTGCGCTTCCTCAGTGCTGCTTGTTGGAGTTGGCCTCTGGTTCTCAGCTTGACAAAGGACGCTTTCTGTTAGGAAGTTGGGAACTCCACAGCCAATCTTTCATCAGTATTTTTCTCTTCTTTTGTAGACTCATTCCCTGCCTACTTTGTTCTCAGTTCTATAAGAGCTCTTGTTAGCAAATAAAAATGTAGGATTCTGGGCTAGCCCAGGGATTGACGCAACGCCTCGTCTGATGAGTGACAAAAAGGTTTTATTTACTACAGGTATTTAAAATCAAGTTAAGTGAGCCCGAACCCAATCAAAGCCCAGTAATTAGCTACAAGGTGATGATTTCTGACTGACTTCTCGAGTGCGTCTGGTGTGTAAGCAACTGGTCTTAAAGAGGTTTCTTACTCTTGAATCGTGCGTGCTGTTCACTGTTTTACTACCTTTTTATACCCTTAGTTTAGCATTTTCAAAGCATTCTTTTAGTTGTATAAATCAGGAGAGAGTCCCAAACAGTCATTGACAGGAAAAACCTGCTCATTACTGGTTATCAGAAATTTCTAATTCCACTGAGTTGCCTCTTGTTCCTGAAGAAAGTTTGGAACATATCAAGAAACTGATTAACAGCTAGTAAAAACACACTAAATCAGGAGGAGACATCTATTACATATGGAGAATGTCTCTTCCTGCACATAAACATGAGTTAGTCACAAAACAAATATTCACCATACTACTTAATCAAGGCTAGACAGTTCAGTTGGTTACACACCAGACAACTAAGAGTCTGCCTGAAATCATCCTGAATATAGCAAGAAAGGCTGGAAGAGAGACTTTGTTATTCCTTCTTAGCTGGGCTAGCCATGAACTTGCATCCTCTTGCATTATGCAATTAGCATCAGTATTCTGTATTTTAACTTTTGTGAGTAGGCCCAAGCTTAGCATGAGTTTCAGAGTCATAACTCTTGGACTCATCTATTACTTGTTTTGTGTAAGCTCAGACTGCTGTGAAGTAGTGCTTGTTGCGTCCCAATATCTGTGTTTCTCGGCTGTTCTTTGCTGTTTTTGTTTGCAGGTAAAAAGAAAATGTCTGCAGAATGCCAGAGCAAAAAGGGTCAAAGGTAAGAAGGCTTTGATTAACAGAAAAAAGAAAAATCCTGAATAGCTTTTCTCACCTGTTTTTAAAATTTTCTCTCTACATGTGACAAAGTAGTTAACATGTTCGCTATATTCCTGCTTGTTTGCAGATTTGCTTTTGTATAGACCAGTGGTTCTCAATGTTTTTGAACTCTCAGCCCTCTCCATAACGTCGGTGAATTGAATGGCACCCAATTCAAAAGCCTAATTTCTTATATTATAGTTCTGTGGCAGGGCACTTGATGTGCCTACCACTTGAAGAGGACAGGCAATCTGTTGAGCCACGGGCAGGTGGGAATCCAGCTGACCCAGGGGGGTGGCAGGGCTTGATCAAAGAAGTCACCTGAGTGAAGGAGGTTGAAGGAGGGCTGGTTGTAGATCAGGTATAAGCCCAGACCCTGAGAGTTTTTTCTTAATCTTGTTGATTGGTGACTAGTTAAGGAGGTTGCTTTGCAATTAATTGATAACCTTTGCACTAAAGTTGGCCTTTTGATAATTGAGGGGGGAATACCTTTTATCTATTAACACTAACAAACTGAAGAATGGTGGGGTAGGGACAGAGTGCCACCTCCCAGGGAGCAGGGGGGTAGCTTGCATGGCTGGCTGTTGCCACTCCGCATCTGGTCCTGTGCCCCCTGCCCCTCCCCCTGCGTCTACCTGGCCTGCTCCACTGTAGCCACACCCTGCCTGTCATTCTTGACACAGCACTGGCTGGAGACGTGCCCCCCAAGAGCCTTGCGGACAGACAGATGGACTAAGCCATTTTATATATAGAATTTACCAATGCCATGTGATGCGATATTTCACAAGACACATATATTTATGGCCTTTTTTTGCACAAAGAATATAAAAGTTTAAATGGTAATCATATTCTTTTTTTACCATTTACCTCCCAGCTTGGTGCTGCTTGCTGTTGCCAGAGTGGCTCCAGCTTGGGCTGCTTGGATCCAGACTGTCATGACAGAGAGATAACTAGTGGTTACCTGGGGGAGCGGGGCTGGGCAAAGTTGTGCAACGGAGCCACTGGGGCTAAATTGGAGTGAACGCAATGGCAGGCTGCATGGAGCCAGGTGCATTCCCCCCCATAGCACCCACAGGGGTTCCTGCCTACCAGAACAACTGCACTGTACCCAGGCGGTGCCTCCAGCCTGCCAGTGCCCGGAACCCTGGGCAATGCCTCCCTCCCGTCCACGTCCCGGGCTCCAGCAGCTGCTGCTTAGCAAGGACCTGCAGCAGCAGCTCTCCCAGCCCAGGGGCGTGTGGTGGATGGGCATGCTGTGCAGAATTGCACCTGAGGCATCCACCTGCAGGCTGAGTACTCTGTGCTAGGAGCCCCGGCACTGGGCAAGCCTTCAGCCAAGCGAGAGCAGCGTGGTACTGGCCCGGCTGCTGGCTGCATTCAAATGGGGAATGTACGTGGAAACCCCGGTGGGAGTCCTGGCTCTGTGCAACCCCGCAGCACCTGATGGCAGCTCTGCCACTGCTTGCTCCTGTTTTGAGTCTTGTCAACTCTACCACACAATTTTGCCCGGCTGTGCTCCCCCCGGTAACTGGTAGTTACCTCCCTCCCTCCTGCAACAGCTGTGTGATGTTGCAGCCCAGATCTGTGCCATCTCCCAGGCAGCCCCTGCCAGAGCTGCTCCCCCAACAGCAGACCCTACCACCCTGCATTGGTGCTGCTGCCTGCTCACTCCCACACACTTGCCACGTAGAGCCTGCTGTGGCCACGGGTTTCAGTCTCGGCTGGCAGTGGAGCTCGCTACTATCCTGCCTACCACCCTTGGCCCCAGCTTCCCTTGTCTTCTTGCTTCTCTGTCACTGGGCCATATAACCAATATAATTAGAAGAGGTTAAACAGGTATTTTTTAGACAATATTTACATCCCCATTTTGCTCTTAAAGTTCACGTATTAAATACAGATGTTATCCATAATTGATTGAAATTATGACTGCTTGGCATCGTCCTTCAAGGTTTTAGAGCTGATGGGTTTCAACCTCTCAGTTCATTTTGATTTATGGAATGGAAGAGAGGTTTGAATGGACTAGTTGAATAAACTAAAATGAAAGCAGCATTGTTTTTGAACCTTAAGATTTCCGATATCAAGAGTTAGTTTAGCAAACAATATCAAGCCCTGCCTCGTGGGGGAGGGCCAGCCAGGGACAAAGCCACAAGTCCTCTGGGGGGGGCGTGGCATGGAGCAGGGCTTATCTGGGGGTTGTGGAGGGAGGTGGAGGTAGCTCCCACCACCACATGCGGCTTCCTCCCACGGCTCATCCACCGGCTCCCACCGCTGCTGCTGTCGCTTGTCCGGGAGGGCACAGTGCCCCTGGATCTGTGCTGAGCGGGGCAGGTTGGGGCCAGGGCTGTTCCTCACGAAGCCTGGGCTGCCCAGGCAGGGTGCAGGGTGGGCTGTGGTGCTGCTGGGAGTGAAGAGCTATGATGGGGTTACAGCAAATATTGGGGTGGCTGCTGCCCCATGCCCCACCTGGCCCAGGCTCTGTTGGGAACTTCCCCGGCCCCAGTCTGCCCTGTGCAGATCCGTGGCCTGTTCCTGGTAGAGCCTCGGCTGGGTAGGGCGTGGAGCAGCACTGCTGGGAGGGGGCTGCAGCCACCCCAAAATTCGCTGTAGCCCCCTGCTCCTACTGGCACTGCCACCTGCCCTGCGCCCGGCCCAGATTCTCCTGGTAACAGGCCTGGCCCCAGCCTGCCTGGTGCAGATCTGGGAGCACATGTCCCAGACAAGTGACAGCAGCAGTGGTAGGAGCCAGTGGGCGAGTTGCACTTGGCAGCAGGAGCCATCTCCCCCTCCCCCATGAACCCCAGACAAGCCCTGCTCCATCCTGCATCCCCGGACAAGCTGAGGCTTTGTCCCCTGCCCACCCCGCCTGGGCAGCACTTGCTTCAGCCCCTGCCTCCATCCCTCCTGCACAGCAGGGCCTAGATCTGCCTCCCACACCACGCCCTTTCCCCCTTTTTTCCCCCATACATTCCAGCTGGAGGCAGCTCTCCGTGCTGCAGGCTGTCTCTTCAGTGCTTACGTGCTGCGCTGTGCCCGTGCCCAGCATGGACATTTATTGGCCAATTAAGGCCAATATAGATCATTTTCCTTACATTAGTACTGATCCAATATCAGACTGATGTATCAGTGTACGTCTAGTTTACACATAGGCTTTGAAGGAACCAAGGGGGTTGCTGGAGGCTGTTAATGAGAGAAATGAGTTCTTGTGGGGATTGTAAATGCGTTAACAGCTATTTGAGTTTTATTTTAACTTGTCAAAGGTGTCTAGACCACTGGGCTATCTGATAAGGAACCAGAGTGAGACATTTCCTTAGGTGCAGATGGCAAAGAGAAAACTGTTCCCCCATCAGAGAACGGGTGCAGATTTTCTGTGAGCAGCAGACTACAATGTTAAGTTACCATCAGATGAAAGCCTTCTTTAAGACGCCAAATTTTCCGTAATAAAGCATTGTCTTTCTATTGCTTGCTTATTTCTTTCTTTCTATTTGCTTTCTACTTGAAAATTAATACCTGGCCAGAATGACTGAGTATAGCAAAAGCATTGTTTGTTTGTTTGTTTTTTAATTTATTCATCAGTCTTGAATTGTGAGAACTTCTGGGGAGTTCTGATCCTCATCTGTGTTGGATTTGTCACATTTCTGACACCTGTTTTCATATTTTATTTTTCAGTTGTAGTCTGACCATTTCTTCTAGTGATGATGAAGAATTTGAAATGTGTGAGTATAGACTGGGTCAAATTCTTGCTGGCTGTATGAACAAGTGAAGGAAGGTATATTGTTCCTAGCCATGGAAATGTATTTTCTAAACTTTTGGAATTTTTTTTTTTCTTTAAATGCAGTAAGTTAGGCTTTGCAACAAGAACACCCCTTCTCTTCTCCCCAAATCATACTGAAGATGCACATGCATCTTAGGCACTGAGTTGAGAGACTTTGTGCTTAGGAGTACCTATGTGAATATGCATCATCCCTGTAGTCTATACAACGGGTGTCAAAGTATGGTATATGCTTCCTGCCTTGAAGTTCCACTCAACTGCATTTTGGTATGAGGGAGTATTTTTTGTTGTCCTTAAGACTTACTATTTCTGCCTCAATCTGCTTTTTAATTCTTTATAGCTAGTGGTTTGTTTTCTGGCACTATTGCCTATTGGCCGTCTTGTATGGGTTGGGAAATCTGCTAGGTCAGCAAACTTTCTCTTGGAAAAAGCCATGTTTTATTGAAGATGGCTTTTTTTGAACTGCCAGGCTTTAAGTATTGTCCTTCTTCTAACAAGACCATCCCCCAGAACAGGTGCTGCAAATGCCTTCTTTGCCTGGGTGTATTCTGTGTTTTAGGGAAGTGTTCAATTAGCAAATCATTCAACTCCTTGATCCCAAAAGACTGGGAGGTGAGGCTCCAGGTTTACCTTCTTAAATCTGCACAGCCTGGAATGCAAGACCTCCCTGAATGCCCCGGTTAGTCTAAGAGCTCCCTGCTCCAAGGATGTCTTCCAGTGAGACCTAAAATAAGGTGAACCTTCAATGGGAGTTCCAAGTTGAGGGTTCTTCCAAGAATTGTGTTCCCTGCTGCTCTGTATCGCTTGGAGCTGTTGCAGCCCCAAGTGGTCTCTGAAAAATCTCAAAGGTACTTCCCTACTACAAACTTGTGCTGCATCCTACCCTCCATACCCTCTTCCTAAGAGTCCTATGATTCTTGCAATTCTGTGATTAAGAACAAACTGATGGCAGGTAGCATTTATCACCCTTTAATGCCCTCCATGCAAAACAAAAGGAGTAGGGTGCATTTGTGTTGTATGTGTATTGCTAGGCAAAAAGCCCCTTAGCATGGATGTACCAGGCATGTGTACCCATAGTCTAATGTGCATGGGGACAACTTCTCCAAGTAGTCAGTTGTGATATCTGAGCAGTTGTTTTTCAGGTTTTATGACAGAACAGGCGTTGAAAGATAATGGAGAGAGGAGTCGAACATTTTCTGCTCCGAACGGCTACTGTTTTGAATTAAGACATAAAATAAAATGTATGTTTTAAGGATCCTGTATGCTATTTATAATTTAAAAGTAACATCAGTTAAGTCCTTGTATGTACTCCCTGCACAGAATAGGATTCTTTTAGAAAGTTAAGTTCTCTGATTTAATTGCAATATTCTGATTTAGTTTTATCTAGAATGAAGACTCCAAAATCCCTGGCACATCAAGTCCCAAAGAAGCAAAATGACAGGTAGATGTTAGTCATGTAGAAAAGTATATAATTTAAGGGGGGAAAAATTATTAATGGGGACATTTTGGTTGCCATGTATAAGTTCGCAGTGTTGGGGTTTTTAAATTTTATTTTGAATGTGGAAAACTGAATTGGAGCCTCTCTTCTGTACATAGGGCAGTATTGTGTTTAGGAGCTTTGAGAGCACTCATACCATGAGCTCATTCATGGAGATATATTAGTTCAGTCACTTCTCTCTACCTCGTCTCCTCCTTCATTGATGAGATGGGGATGAGTATCTCATTAGACCTAACTTGATGATTTTCTTACACTTTAAAATATGCAAATATAACCCTGAAAAATTTTGGAGGTACCCATGATGACAAGCATTGCAATAGATAACTGGGAAGTTTTACCTACACTAGGACAAGAATAGTGGCGATCATCCTGTTTCTGCTTATAGCTTCCTTTGTCTCATTTTATTTTTACAGTTTGAGAGACTTCATTGTTGACTCCAGGGAGGACTTTTTCTCAGATTTTAGAAGAAAAGGAGGTACAAATAAGAAGGGCAAATAACACTCCATCCACAGAGGGGATGACTATTTGGGCTGGGTAGAAAGAACAAATGCTTATTGTTCCAAGCTCATAATGCTTCTTAAAGAGATGGAAGTAAATTTGAAAATGTCTGGTTTCTCTTTATGGCAGGGGTGTCAAAGAGTTCACAGGCTGGATCTGGCTCCATAATCAGGTGCTGCCCCTGGGTCTGAGCCAGTCTACATGCTGCTGGCCTGGCCCTCTGTGCAGGATCTGGCGCACGTGCTGCCTGTAGTGCCTGGTCCAGCTGGTCCAAGGTCTGCATTACACAGGACATCTGCCCTGGTGGCCCTGGGACTGCACCACACCTAACGACTGCTCTGGGACTCACGGCTCCTGGCCAGGCCAGTCTGGAACGTGCTGCATGCAGCACTCATGCTAGCCAGTCCAGGACTGGACTGTATCCAGTGCCCACAGATGGTACAGCACAGGTCCCAGGCTGACTGGAGCAGGTGACATGCAGTTCCGGACCTGGGGGTGGGCCGGTTGTGGGCCAGGGTGCCGCTGGCACTGGAATCAGCATGGCGGGGTGGGGAGTGTGGTCTGTGGGCCTGATCCAACCCAAGGAGCATCCCTATACTACTCATCCAGCCAGTGGGACCAAATGAGTTTGACACCCCTGCTTTAAAGGTAATATACAGTGATATGATGTGTCAACTTCTCTTCCTTTCTGTTGGATTACTTCTCTCTCCTTCCTCTGCTTCCTGTTCCTACATCTGGTGTTGCTGTTTTTCTCCCTCCCTTCCAATTATGCCAGTTAAAAAAATGGGCTGTCTATCTCTCAACTCTCTTCAATTCTGTTTGCTTTTAATTAAAAGGAAACCTGGCTGCCAAAGGCAGCCCTTCTCCCATTCCCTGCACTGCCTATTCAAATAGCTTATTTAAGGAATAGAACTGACATTAATATTATGTTAAAACAAAGTCAAACATACATAGCTGCAGAAACTTTTATCAAGAGCGCAACTGTGATGGTGTTTGCTAGACTCTTGCAAATTCTCTCAGACTCATCATGCCCCTCTAGGGTCCATGGATGTGTGTCCTTTGGCTATTTCTCAGTTGCATTGTTTCTAGATAACGTGGACTTAAGTGTAAACACGCATGGAAATCTTACGATATTTCTCTGTGTAGGGGTCTCATGTTCCAAAGCATCTGGCAGATTGATATTAAAACAAAAGCTGATGTCTTTGTAGTTAAATTAGTGGGTTGTTTATATTTATCTTTTAAATTGCAGCGCTGAAAGATGTTTGGGCTGGAGAGAAACCAGTGGCTAGAGGAAAGGAAAATGCTTGCTATAGGGAACAGCTGCGTTTGGAGTTTTTCAGTGACAGTGACACTGAAGATTCTGTTTTTATAAAAAGTACGTGGCGGAACCACCACCAACAGAGCGGAGAGAAGGGGTTGAAGAAGAAACTGAGGCGCACAAAACAACCTCCTGGCATACAAAAAGATCTTGCTTTTTCTAAATATAATCTGAGTCCATCTCTGGATGAGAAGCAGCAAGGTTGTGAAGGGGAGGATCCAGAGGACAAAATACAAACCTTAGCATTGCAACAAAATGCGACAGTAGAATCAGACAGCTCAGAAGATGAATTTGAATCCTTAATAGAGCGGATAAAAAAGCGAAGCACACCTCTGACTCCAAGCTCACCCACGAACAAAACCACGGTCTGTCAACCAGGTATCAAAGGTAGGAGAAAGCCATTCTTTATTGTCTTAATCCTCTTAACTTAACAAGTATTGTGCAAATGGGCAGCAGGACTTCCTTATACTCTTCTTCATAAAGGGTTGTTATATGTAAATCACACCTAAAGTCCTTTCAGACCTGTCTCTGAAACAAATTATACACTTAACCATTTTCTTTTTTGAATACATTGTATTTGGCCCATCATATTTAACCTTTGGATTATGTAGTGTTCTGCTGCTTTGTAGTCAGTCTCTTAATTCCTTACTCTTTGGTAGAAATGCCTAATATTTGGTTCATTTAGGTTTGTAATCTTTTTGTTTATGCTTGTAGAACTGGAAAACTTCAGGTCTCCCTGTGAAAGCATACAGCAGGCTGTTCAGAGGGAGAGAATCCAGAGACAAAACTCAGAATCTTTGCTGAAAGATGCTTCTTCCAGTTTAATGCCTTTTATGAGACTTCCTGAGATCCCGTCACTTAATTACGTGCTTCCATCCCTATCCGAGAAAAGGTAAGCCTTTCTTTGTTCTTGTCGCGTTTTCAGAGAACAAAAACAAAAGAAAAAAGCAGCTTGAATTCAATTCTGAGGCAAAGTACAGCTATTATGTTCTCACCAGTACTTCCTGTTTATCATGCTTAAAAGAAACAGATAAAAAAATTGTGCTCCCTTAATGCTTGCACTACTGTTTTAAAAAGCTTTTTTTTTCCCCCTGTACTCTAGCTTAAGGCTCTGAAATCTTTGATGTCTATAAGGTGGAACTTGTTTCCGACTAAAAGGAATGGACTTATTTTGCAATTTTAAAGTTGCTCTTAAAAACAGCTTATATAGTTCCATGAGTTTCAAACAGTTTACATTCATAAATACTGGTCACGTCCATGTGGGATGTTTATTGTGCAATAGACTAATTAGACGCGCTGTAGACACTGAGGCACCCCTACTAGGCTGGAGTTAAACTAGTATACTCTGCAGCAGGATAGTACTTGTAAACACAAATGCTATCCTGGCTCAGAGTAAAAAACTGCAGCAGTGCACATGTAGATACTAGAGGGCTGACTGGAGCACGAGGGTAACCCTGCATTGGGCTGCTCTGGCCTGGCTCGATATGCTGTGATTCCTGGCACGCATGCAGCCGTGTGCCCACCAGCTTATTGCTGTGCATTAATGGGCGCATGTAGGCACACGCACTATGTACTTGTGGCATTACAGTTTATGACAACATTGGGCATGTGCACAACCTTTTGAACTAATGTAGGGATATGAGTACATGTTGCTATGAGGGGTGTCACGCTGACACGCTCAAAACATGCTGCTCTTCCATGGATGAGACTTTGGGGCTTTGCATCAGGAGTATGTGTACTTGAGATCAGAATCTTCCAAACAGTGGTGACTGAGCCATATCACATAGTCTGTCCTCATGCCACCCCCGACCCATCCTCATGAAGGCCCAGAGCATTTGCAGGGTTTTTGGTTTAGACTTTCCCTATGCCTGAAGAAGGGTGCTTGTGCCCAAAAGCTTGCAAAGAAGTGTGTTCCAACTACTCAGTTGGTCTAATGAAAGATATTACATGTACCCAAAGAAGCTTGCATGCAAGAGCATTTGTCGTATTTCAGGTCCCTCTCTGCCTTGGGCAACAAGACTGAATAAGCAGTGTTTGCTTTCTATCCTTTAAAGCAGGGGTATCAAACATACAGCGTGTAGAACCCTGCCATCCAGCCCTTGGTGCTGCCCCAGGGTCTGATCAGACCCCATAGGGCACAGTGTGCTCCAGTGGTGTGGGGCTAGACCTCAGGCTGGATCAGGTCCGTTGACCCGCTCCCCATGGAATCTCTGACTCCAAACCCCATCTCCAGGTTGGGGCCAGAGTTGGAACTGCAGCAGCAACCTGCTCCACTCCCTCCGTTTGTATTTGAATCTAAGATGAGGGGTCCCTGCCGTATTGTATAAGGTAAGTAACCATTCCTTTCTAGAAAACTGATGTGATGGGTTAACTTTTTTGCTACTATTTTTCTTGCAGATCAAATCTTTGTCCAGTGCCTGGCTGTTTCTTACAAGATCTCTCAAAACCAACATCTCAATATGTGAAGGATTTCAGGAAAAAAAAGGAGGTGTTGACAGAGAAACTCTACAGCCTTTATAACAGCACCATCTTTGAGCAAAAGGTAGTCATATACACACATTTCAATTACAGAACAAATAAAACCCATGGATTCTATGCTACTTATAATTTTCTGTGTGAAATGATGACTCTCTTCTTCTAGCGCCTTATCTCAAACTCAGCTGAAATTCGGTTTTCTAGCAAGTGTCTTATGTTTGAATGAGGTCAAAAGATGGATTGTTTTGTAAAGCAATTTTCTATAGCTGTAGTGCAGAGATTTTTCTAATTTGTCCAGCTCAGATTATACTTAAGTCTTGAAAGTATCTTTCAGAACACAAGAAGTGGCATACTGGGTCACACCAATGGTCCATCTAGTCCAGCATCCTGCCTTGGACAGTGGCAGGACTGGATGCTTTAGAGGGAGACCACTAAACTGGGTATGTGTAGAATGATCTATCCCCTGTTCATCACCCTGCCTGGCCTCCACCATCATTTGTTTAGTTTAGAGCAGAGTGGCGGCAAAATTTGGAGTGGATGTAGCATCCTCCCAGCACTGCTGGCACCAGCTCTGAGCCCAGCCCCTGCCGAGAAGAGCCTGGCTGCAGCCCACCCCACCCTTCCCCACGCAGATCGGGGTGGGGGGGGAAGCATGCCCCCCTGTGCCTTCCCAGGGTGCAAGCAGTGGTGGGAACCACCTCTTCCCACGGCTCTGCCCCCCTGCCCCCTCCCTCACAGTGGGAGTCATTGATTTGGCGCCCCTCCCGCCGGCACGCCTTCCCTCTCCCCTCTCCTTCCATCTCACCGGACTTAACGTGCCTCCTTAAATACTGGGTCTTGGTATTGGCCCCCAAAATCTCATCCCTGCATTAGTATGCTTTTGGGACTCAAAAAAAAAAAACCAGAAAAACATGCACCCAATGTATACACCTGCTAATACTAGTTTGCTTGCTTACGTGAATGAAAGTAACTTGGCTTTAAAGCACTGAGGCCTGGAGGAATGATCACAGTTGGGAAGACCTAAATTCTAGTCACAGGTTGGCACTGACTTGAGTGGTGACAGTGGGCAAATTGCATTGTTCTGAGCCTCCAGCTTTCCCCAGTCATAAAATGGCAGTAATATCCAGTTGTCTCACAGGGCAACTGCATATTTCTTAATGTGTAGTTAAAACTGTGTTTTGGACCTGCAAAGTGATAGATAACTGTTTAGTGGTATTATTTGGTATAAATTTTAAAAAAAAAGTATCAACTTTGTTACCGCATTTGTTGCATTTTTACTGCAAGACTAACTTGTGATCACATCACATACTTGTGAAATTGAATGAGTTCCTTGCTTGCTTAGAAAAGCAGTTGGGATGGAAATATATTTAGGCTACTTTTGGGAGGCTTTTGTGCCTGAGGAACCTTTTGATTCCTGTATGTCCAGTTTTTTGGATTGCCATCATCTTTGTGGCATTGGAATGTGATCTCTTGCTCTTTGTGGTAGTATGCCCTGATGAGATCAGTTTTAAGCTGCCTGCTTAAAAAAAGCTGGAACCAACCTGATCAGCCAGTTCCTCTGTAGACCAATAGCAAGGGGTAGCCTGGCTCTGAGTTTTGGAACTTGTAATCTCAAGAGCTGCGTGCAGCAGTACTAGAGTCTGAAAGGAAGGTCCTTCTCGGGTGTTTTGGAACAAGACAAGGTCAGATTGAGGAACTTGATCAGTTTGTTAGTCTTCATGTTGAGAGAACTGTTTTGTTTTTTTTAAGGTTTAAAAAGAAGCCTCGATAAATTGGAGAGTGTAGGTTATGAAGGTTGCACTTAAACTTGATAGTTAAGCCTGTGAAAAATCTTGTAAGCACCATTAACCAGCTGCTGTCATCTCCCTATTCAGTCTCCTAGGAAAGGCTTTAGCCTCTGTTGAACATTTAGAAAATATGGGATGCTGCCCTCATCAGGGATTTGACAGCCTGATTAAGTGACGGGGAGAGTCTCCTCTGAGCACTTGGAGAAGAGATTGTCAACATGGCCCGGGGGAATGGCTAGTTTTAGAGATGTTAACTCTTACTACTTTTTCTCTTCAGTTGAGCTATATGGCTGACTTTGTTTCACTGCTATTTTGTTTTTGCTTAAAACTGCTTTCAAGCAGCTGCTTCATGCGGTCTATCTCAAGAGAGAGCAAAGTCTTCCAACCTACAAAGAGGTGGGGAAGGCAAAAGGAGTTTCTTAAATCTTGCCTCCCCCCAGATCTCAGTCCTAATGTGCGTGGATAAACACCTCTTGCTTACGGCTGTGATAGCGCACACCAGGGAAAAGCCTGAGGAAGAGATGTTTGTTGGGAGAGTGCAGATGATATGCACCATTTCATTATTTTTCTCTCAGTTACCAGAGAAAATGGAAATCATCTGGAATAAAAAGATGCGGAAGACAGCAGGGTACTGTGTAACTGGGCAAACAAAAGGTCCTGAGTTCCAGCGCTATGCTCGGATAGAGCTCTCTGAAAAAGTTTGTGACTCTGCAGGTAAGGAAGGACAGAAGGATATTGAACTTAATTGCTTTACTGGGCGGGTTCTAGGCTAGGATGCAGAGACATGGGTTTTATTTCTTGTCCTGGCACAAAGTTTGTTAGAACTTAAATAAGTCGGTCTTTTTTTTAGTTCACCATTCATAAGATGGGAACAACAGCATTGTCTTATTGTGAGGATTGCAAGTACGTTAAATATTGCAAAGCATGTCGAAATCTGTTTACGAAAAGCATTATATGAGGGCCTGGTCTTTATTTATTTATTTATTGATTTATTTATTAACGATAATAATGATTTTATGGGCATCATGATTCAAAGTGCATTTCTAAGAGTTTTAATGGCTGTGTTTTACTGCAGGTGCTCCTTGAGATCTGAGTTTGTTCACTACAGCTGAATACACTTTTTTCAGAAAATGTGGAGTCACAATTGAGGCTGATTAGGGAAAAAGCCCTACTCTCAATACCATATTAATTGTTCTCAGTTGACTGTCTAAAATGCTTCAGTTACCTCTGAATGAATGAACTTTATTGATAGATCATTAAAACAATCATGCTGTACTACAGCATAAAAGCTTGGGTAGGGCAAAGATCAACTGAAAATCATCTTAAATCAGTAGCAACACAACTGTCATCAGGCAGGTGTACCCAGGGCATCTTTACACGTGCTTCATGGGGGGGAGCGCTTTAATCAGAGCGGCCCTCGGGAGGCACTCTAATTAAAGCACCCACAGCGTTGTGCGTGTTCAGCTTGCCGCAGTTCAAAGTGACGGCGGGAACACTAACTAAAGCTTGTTCAGTGACCTTCAGTTAAAGTGCCTCTGCCGCCATTTTGAAGCATGGGACATTGAATAGATGTTATGCTGAGGCTGCTGGAGCATGCTAATTGGCATGCTCCAGCCAACTCCATCAAGTCTGCTCTGACGCATACTAATTAGAACGTGTTGGGCATGTGTGTAGGTGCTCGCGGTGTCTGCATTGAATAACTATGGCTTTAAAATGAAGAGGTCACAATCAGGGACCTGGGATGATGGTCTGGGAAAAAGAAAGCTGTGCAGGGAAGGTATCTCTACATCATTGAGGATATTTGCTGAGGAAGGCTTTAAACTAGGTTTGTGGGGAATGATGACAAAAATAATGACTGAAGTGCAATTAGGATCTAAGGATTAAGGCTGGGCAAAGAGGCTTAGCTGTTGAAAAAAGAGGGAAAACTAATGGGGTTAAGATGAGAGGGAGAAAAAAACCTCAGGAAAATCTGCAAGGTAGCTTTGATTCCTATATTCCAATAAAAGCAAGAGGATTGAGCAGAATGAACTGGAAGTTATTTTACATGGAGTAGGTGTCGTGGAGAACTCACATGGTTAGAATGTCAGTACTTGAGGGGGTATAGTCTGATTTAGAGGGACTGGTTTGAGGGGTTAAAAAGAGGAGACATTTCACTGTTTTGTCCAGAATGCATGTGCTTGCTCTGATGTCCTAGGGGAAGTGAGCAAGAGAGCAGTTGTGAGTGCATTTGGGCGAAGAATAGAGGGTAAAGAAAAGTAACCTGGGTTGACTACAGACCACCAAATCAGGCAGGACTGAATAAGGCATGCTTCAAACAGAATATCTGTAAATATGTAAATTAGTAACAATGGGGCATTTAACTTTCCTGATACCTGTTGGAAGAAAGATGCAGAAAAACATACAATTTCTAACAAGTTCTTAATCTACACAACAACATTGTTTTAGAAAACTTCCTAACATTAAAAACAGGAGGACAGTGGAGTAAGTTGTCTAGAGAAGTTGTATAGTTTTTCAAGAAGAGGCTGAACGGGCACCTGGGTGGGATGGTATAGGAACAGCATGTCTGGTGGCTGTTACAGCTCAGGAAAGAGACCTTGAAATCATTATACAGATGGCTCTCTAAAAGTGTCGGCTCGATTTATATAGTAGTACCTTAAAAAACAAAAACAAAAAAAAACCACCAACCGCACCCCCCCCCCAACCCGGAAAAAAAAAAACAACAAACCTGTTGAGAGCATTGTTAAGAAGGGAACAGAAGACAAATTGGAGAACATCATCGTGCCACTACGCAAATCTATAAATGCACCTATGTGTTGGCTACTGTGTACAGTTCTGGACCCCACATCTCCAAAAGGATGTAGTAAAATTAGAAAAGGTACCGAGAAGGTCTGCCAGAATGATTGGGTCACGGAGCAATGGCCATACCAGGGAAGGGTAAATAAGCCAGGACTCTTCAGTTTGGAAAGGAGAAGGCTGAGGGGGAAATGATAGTGGTCTATACAATCATGAACCATGTGGACCAAGTGGATAGGGAACTGTTATTCACCAAGTCCCACAATATTAAGGGGCATCTGCTGACATGAGTGGGTGACAGGTTTAAAGCTAACATGATAAAGTACTTTTTCAAACAACACATAGTTAACTTGTGGAATTCATTGCCACAGGAGGTGGTAGAGACAGACGCTACAGTCAAATTCAAAGAGGGACAAGACATTCCTGGATCATAGGTCTGTTAATAGCTGTTGAACAGAATGGTTGTAGATGTTTCCTCTGGCATCTCTAAACCAATAATGGTGGATGTCAGGGAGAGTATTGAACAGGGAATGGAACATTCTAGATCCGTTAGGTTCATGGTTCTCTCTCTCTCTACCATCCACTTCTGGATCCTGGGCTAGATGGGCCATTGGTCCGACTCAGCACGGCACTTTTGTTCTTAGGTTTGTCCAACATCTGTGCAGGGGTCAGGCAAGACGACCCTTGTTCCTTCCAGCCGTATGATTCTAAGAAGTCACCCTCTTATCACCCCAGAGACACTAAGGACAGCAGGGGATGACGTGGCCTCTGACTTGGAGAGAATAGTGTGTGGAAAATCTTCCATTAAGCAGTCTGCGCAATTTTTATCAGAGTGAAGACTTTATCTGGCATTGGTGACAGTGGTGTCATCCACTAGGGATGGCAAGCAACTTATTTTTTTCCCCCCTCTTCTCTTTCCCCAAGACCGGCTTCGAGACACACTGATCCATGAGGTTTGTCATGCAGCCACCTGGATTATCAATGGAATTCGAGATGGACATGGACCGATTTGGAGATTGTATGCTAAGAAATCAACTGTAATTCATCCAGAGCTGCCAATGGTGACACGATGCCACAGCTATGAGATTAAATACAAATTCACTTATGAGTGTTCTGTGTGCAAAGCCACGTGAGTAGTCATTGTTTGCTCCCATTTGCCTGGGATCATCTATTAACTTTCTTTACCTCCCCAATCCAACAGCTAACTAACTGTCTATTTTAAAACTAGATCTTTTAAAATTATTTGCAGCTGGCACTGGAATGGACTGAATTTGTCTGTATTACTTCACCTGCTTTGTCCTAAAACCATAAAGAGCCTCGCACTGATCCCCTGCCAATCTCTCTTCCGGTTTCCTTACAAGACTTCAATTTCCCTGCTGTTTATTATTTATCGCCATCATTGTTGTTTTTATTAGCATCATAATTACTTAATGGCTTCTTTGAGAACAAAATGTTGGGGGGAGGTAAGACCAGTTATTTAAGGGGAGCAATCTGGACCACAATGAGTTTTTGAAGATTTGTAGGGTAACTCCCAGAAGGGACCATTTCAGTTCCATGGCCTGACTTCTTTAGTCTATGTTAATCAAAATATTGCCTGCTGATTTCTGCGTACAATCTAGAATAGCAACCAAATGGGACCAAACTTGCTGGAGATGAGTCCCTCTTGGCCACTATTTATAGATTTAAAATTTTGCAGCTCTGTCTAAAAATGCTACACTTGGCCAGTTTCAAAATAGTTAAGTTAATTTTGTGCAGTGCTGTTCTCCATGGGAGCAGACGTTTTTCCTTTGGGCATTCAGACTTTCCATTTTGATATCTTCTCCAGGACCCACCTCCCGCAGACAAAGTAATATTAGGAAGGTATTGTGGTAGTTGGATACAAACTGACGTTTTTTATGTTGCCGTGAGGCGAGGCAAAGGGTATCACTTGAATTTCCAACTCTAACAGAGCAGTGTTACTGAAGGAGTTACTGATCACTTACAAGGTTGTGTAGACTTGCTGGTGAGAGACTACTGTAGCTATGTGAAGAGCTTGTATATAACTTGTAAGTGGCACTCTGTTTCCTGTGTGCTTAGGTAGTAGATGGGGATAATGGTTATACATTGAGATTTTATTGTTGTTGTAGTTGCTAACCTGTTAGCTTGTCAGAGAGAACCCATATGACCCTTTTTAGTACACGACAGTAGTTTTTGTGATTTAAAGAGAGGAAAAAACCTGGGGGGGGGGGGGGGAGGTTTACAGTGAATTGTTAAGCTGAATATGAGCCAAGAATGTGCCCTTGTTGCAAAGAAGGCTAACGGCATAGCATAGGGGTGCACCGATAAAGAATTTTTGGGCCGATACCAATGGCTGCCCAGCTGCAGTCCCGGCTGTGTGCGCGCTGCGGCTGTGCGCGTGCGCGCACGTGGCATTTATGGTGACATGACTGACCGCATCAGCCAAAAAAAGACTATTGCGGATAGTGTCCATTTTACTTTTATCAGTGCCAATGTGCATTGGTAGGAACGTTGGCAGCAGATTGAGGGAGATGATTCTTCCCCTCTGTTCTGCACTGCTGAGGACACATCTGGAGTCCTGTGTCAACAGAAAAGAATGGGGACAAATTGGAGAGAGTCCAGCAGAGGGCAACGAAAATAGCGAGGGGGCTGTGACTTGTGAGGTGAGGCTGAGGGCCTGTATACCCTTTATGCTGCGCCACACTGCACCATCCCCTGGGTGGGCACAGAACACAAGCTGAAGGATGGGGGATGCCTGGAGACTGCAGCTGCTGCTGCAGCCACAGCGATTTGCTGCGTGGCAGCCCGGCAGGAGCCCAGGGGATGCCCCAACAGTTCTCATGGGGCAGAGCAGCTAGGCATTCAGCTTGTGTAGTTAACTGAATGCAACCCTTAGAGTGGCCCTGAACATATTTACAGACACATGCTTAGAACACTTAACCTGCACACAAATAGAGACTGCTGTTCTTAACTGTAGCAGAACGTATTAGAAGACTAACTTATACTGCTGGTGTGAAGCTTGGGGAACTCTCCTACCACTATTGCCTGATATCAGGGTGTGGGTCTCTTCTTGTGCCTCAGGCTGGAACTAGACCACAGGCTCCTTGTGAGCTGGATCCAGCTGGCAGCTCCAGCTTTGGCACAGGACAAACAACTGTGCTCTGGCTCCTGCTTTGGGCCCTGTGCCAGAACTGAAGCAACATGTGTCAGAACACGGTGGCTGTGGTGGCAGCCCCAGCATGGGGCAGTGGTGGGGCTGGCAGCCAAGGACATAAGGCCACAGCAGCAGCCACAGCTGAAACAGCCCAAGGGCATCCAAAGCTGTGTCAATCCTCATTTGGTCTCCTGTCACTGATTGTCATGTCCCCGCCCCTCCCCTGGGCTTAAGGGCCCCAGAGTCTACGGCAGGCTACACCCCCAACTTCTGGTGGCCCACCTGTAGGCTAGTAGGCCCAACTGAGCCGTTCTGTTAGATGGATCAGGCCTGTGGGTGCTAGGTTTGACACCCCTGGCAAAATGCCATTATATAATCACTTTACGTTTTCTTTCTTCTATTTTAGGATCGGGCGTCACTCCAAGTCGCTGGACACAGAGCGTTTTGTGTGTGCACACTGTCGGGGGCAGCTAGTCTTGTGTCAGTCAAGCAGGAAGGATGGTACTCCTGTGAGAACACAGTTAACTCCATTTGCAAAGTACGTGAAAGAGAACTATGGCTCTACCAAGAAAAAGCAGCATGCTTTGAGCCATGCAGAGGTCATGCGGAAGCTAAGTGCTGACTTTGCTTCAAAGACCAGGCTGCTAGATTCTTAAATGTATCTGAGCTGTGTGCTTTCAATGTGACAGGAGTTTGTAGCATTAGAAAAAGCAGACCGGTCTAGTTGGCTACAATTTAGTTTCTAATTTGGAAGGGTTGCAGCACGGATTCAATGAATTGTTGGGTTTTTTGTTGTTGTTTGTGTCCCAGCTTGTAAGGTGCTACGAAGTCTTTAAGGTCTGAGCTAGTTGCATTCGAAGAACAGGGTTCAAAATATTGGTGGAAATAACATCCTTGAATACAGATTATATATTTATCTTTCCTTTATTTGGCAGAATTTTCCTCTAGGAAGGAGCAGTTTTTTTGCCCCTACTCATCAGTCGTTCCTTGCGCGATTCTCCTGTTTCACTCAGGTGGCTGTTAGTGAAACACTTCTGTCTCCTTAAGGTGTTAGGGGAAAGGTGATCTACCCAATACGTGTTTGGACCTGCATCCATTGCCGTAGAATGTTCAGGGGGGGAGGGGGGGGTCGGATGCATCTGTTTAGTTAAGTGTTGTTGTAACTGACCTCTAAACACCTGGATTTCATAGAGGGCCAATGGAAGTTAAGGAGGAGGAAACTCATTTAGAACCTAAGTATTTTGACCAGGTTTGAGAGAGATTCCAGAAGCAGTTAACTTGGGCTGAGAGAGAGGGAAGGTCTTAAACCTAGATCAAATATTTTGCAGTTACAAATTTGTGATACATTTGGTCGGGGGGTTGGATAACCAGTGTGTGTACTGTAAATAATGTGTTCAAGTGATTATATCAGTTTTGTAAGTTTTATTCAATTATTAATAAAACAAATTTTGTATCATACTGATGGTTAAGGTTAATGAAATTAATTTCTCTGTAAGTCCCAGTGCCTCTTTTCTCTTTTCTTCTGCTGCCCCTGGGTAGCCACCCTGTCTCCTGGGTGGGCTAAGGGGTTCCCCAAGGAGTGTTTGCTTATGGACTTAGGCTGAAACCCCTCTACAGAGCACCTTGCGAAGTGCTTCCAGGTCTGCAGCAGTGAAAGGCGAATGGGGTAAGGCGCAGAGGTGAGGCGATGCCTCCCTGTTGCCTTCTGTGAGCTCCCAGGGAAACACTTTGGGGGGGGTGGTCAAGTAGGTCACAGGGCAGTACAACCATTCTTCCATGCCTGAGCTTTAGTCATGGGGTTTGGGTGCAGGTTTTCATTCCCTGGGTGACATGAGCCAGGGGCAACTTTTATGGTATCGTTGATTTTGAAATGCAAAGGAGCAGGGACCAGGATGGACAGGTGCCAGAGTCCGGCTGTAAACCAGCTGAGTGTTGCGTGCATGTTTGTGACAGGGTCCTTGTCCCGGACAGGACACGGTGGGGGCTTCTGCTTGGGGGAGCAGCCTGGTGGGACGCTTTACTTCCCCTGACCCGCAGCCCTCCGCCGCCGTTTGTCTTCTGCTGCCCGCAGCCCCCGGCTCCCTGTTCTCGTCCCCACGGAAATGGTCGGTCCCAGGCGCGCCTCCCGCGACTGAACCGGGGGCTCGGGGCTGGGGGCGTGTCGCTGGGGAGCGCGGCACGGTCGCGATCAGAGGTGCGTGTCCCCGTCGGCCGCCTTGAGGCGAGCCGCGATCGGCTGGAACGGCTGTATGGGCGGAGTCGGGGAGACTCCGCCCTTTCTCTCTCTGATTGGCCTCTACCGCCGGAGGCTAGTCTAGGAGGAAGCCTCCTCCTCAGGCACTCTGGCTGTTGGGATTGGTGCGAAGGGTGCACCGCTCTGCGTGCTGATTGGTTCGACTCCGGCTGGGCGCGGACCCCGAAGCCCGCGTGCCCCGCTTCTGGCCCAAGGCTGCTTCTGGCCGGAGGGGTGCCGTTGCTAGCAAGATTTGTGCGATGTTTCCCTGTTTTACAGAGGAAAAAAGGTTGCTGTTCAGTTAGAACTGCAAGACATCTGTTGTAGTGGAGAGTAGGGGCTCCTTGCTTTCAAATAAGTGCCGGTCTTATTCGGAGCCCACGTCCTTGTCGCTACAGAAATGTGTGCAGGAGGGAGGCATGTGCAGATGTGTATACAGTGCGTGTGCTGTGTGTGAG